CTTTAGAAGAATCATTCCGCTAGTTTGTATCAGATAGGCGGAAAAGCTTGTAAAACTAAAATATATCAAGAATCTTCCCATTATCTTATCTAAAGTATTCCTTGTGTATCAAGTGTCAAAGAAGCCTCAGGAAAGACTTTATAGGACAGAACCTCATAGATCTATTAAAGATGTACAGCATATACTAGCATCCATTTTGGCCCACGATGACTATGATTGGAGGCGTGTAGCTTGACAGATTCTCCCGATAGCAAATAATTAGTACAAATACCATACGGGTAGTCATATGGTTTCACCCAACTACACTTGGTTGATTAGACATGGAAAGTGCGTGCTAAATCAAGGTCTAAAATTGCTTCCAGTCCCTTATAATTGCCCTCTATTATACCTTTTTTTTCCCATAAACCTCAGATTCAACGTCCTATTAACAAGGCTGTCAAGACCATCTTCTCTGAACCATACTCCAATGTTATCATTTGTGCACCTGTCGTTGCACATGCCGCGGTTTGCTTGCTCGTACAGGCCTTTGTCGGCTGGCCAGTTAGCGTGCCCAGCCGCCTTGTAGCTGACCTGGCCCAGTGGCTTATAGACCGCATCGCTCAGTTGCAACTTGACTCTGAGGTGACAGGTGATGCGAAAACCAGCACTATTGAAAGTCCCGCTGTCATGTATTTGATGAACTGTACAAATGACAGCTTCAGTCCGCTCTTTGAATTAATTGACAGTGTGCCAGAACTCGGACGCCTTAGAAGCAAGGCCAAAATTGAATTCAAGCAGAGGAATGACGAATTAGAGGCCGCTGTCCCAGACCAAGTAGAGGCCGCTGTCTCAGACGAAGAGGATTATTGGGTTCAACAGGGAAGGTGTATAAGCGCAGGTTTGATCATGAACGCACATGAAATGCTGCTCAAAATTCCAGGCCTGATAGCTTAGGCAACTTCTCACATTACCACCACTTAATCATTTGAGCTTATGCATAACTTACCAGATAAACTCATTTAACTCAACCATTTTCCCTCTCTTTCCTTCACTGTTTAATCTTGTACTTCAATTGTGTAATTAATATCATTTAATTCGGTTTACAATGATACCTCATTTTCTTGCTGACGTGTTCTTGGCTGCTCAGAACCCGCACTTATCCCTCCCGCTATCTGTTTTCTCCATTTCTTGGGAGGCGAAGGCAAATGGCCAAAAAAGACGAATAAGAACGTGGCTGATATTTGCGTACTAACAACTTCCGCGTTCGGTAGAAGTTTACAATACTGATTGCTGGGCTTAATTGAGGTTTTTGATACAAAACAGGATTCTAATTCATCACCACTAAAGTCGGTATTAGCGATTTTGATGACGGACCGACACTAATGATATGCAGAAAAACTTGGTTTCGAAGAATTCCTTAGTGATTTATTGTGACATTACCTTCCATTTCTAAGCAAAATTTGGTTGAAATTAATCCGGTCTCATGGGAAACAGGAGAATTGCCGCGGAACAAAGACTATTGGATTGTGCGAAGAAATCTTTCCTATACGGCACTACTTCGGCTTCCATTGAGACCATTACATGAAATTCTTTTGACCAACTTTTCCTTCGAAATGGAAAGTCATAGCACAACTAACATTATCTTCCTACAGCTCGAACAAGGTTAAAAATTGAGTAAAGTGCATGGATTCTTTGCTAAATTAAAGCTGATTGGTAGAGAGAATGGAAAGTGCTGGAATCCAAGCAGTGTGCTTCCCTCTATTTCATGTATGCCTGCGCGCAAGCGAATGTGTACATGATACTGAGCAAGATTTCTCGTGTAGAATGTTAGCCTGACGATGGAGTTTGCGTTAAAGCTTAAAGAAACAATACGCATTTGATCGAGCTGGGCGCCTCTTGGTACTAATCCGACTAATCCGAGCACATTTGCAACATGGACCACGTCTCTTATAAAAACTACTGTCAGCCCACTGGCTCCCGTCGCCGCCGCGTCTATCCTGTTTCTATCTCTAATACCAAGTTTATGACTATGCATACCCTAACCTCTTGTGTGCCAACCCACAAATGTTGTGGTTATGCTTGCTTTGATTCGGTTCAATGTTGAACCACAACG